TTTATCATAACTAAGGAAAACTATAACTATCAATTCTTCAACTCCATCAAAGACTTGGTGGGCCCCTACACAGCTTTGGGATGGTTAAAGGGCTAGGATTCTCAGTCTCAACCCCCAACCTCCAGGGGGTGGGGAATGGTGTTGTAATGTTTTACTCTTTTGGTTTTTTGAGGGACCCATCACCCAGCTCCCAAATAAACCACATACACAGAGGCTTGTTATTACTTATGAATGCCCATATCTGTCTCCTTCAGCAGCTACATGGCATCTCTGTGACTCCGCCTACTTTTTCCCAGCATTCAGTTTAGCCCCCGCCCCCAGCTCTAGTCTGCCCTATCACAGGCCAAAGCAGTTTCTTTATTCATTAACCAATAAAGGAAGCACATATGCAGAAGGACTTCCCATGTCAGCCTTTGAACATTCTTACTCTGTCTCTGAGTCACACACACACACACACACACACACACACACGCACACACACACACACACACACACCACAGCTGTTGGCAGACCTGTCTACTTTCTTGGCCTCTAACTCAGAGAGCATTACTTTCTTCCTCTTAGTCATCTTCCCCAAATAGCTATCTACCCTGTTGTTTTTTTTAATTGCAAACTCCAATAAAATTATCCTTGAGTTTCCCACTTGGTCTGTGTGTAGATCCTCTTATCTGAGTCTGCGAATTTGTAAACAGGACTCTGTTCTTGTTAACACTTTATACAAGACTGGGAAGAACATTAGCCTCCACCCACTGAAGTTGGGCTTGTCTGCGTAGCTGGTTTTGGAATGTGTGTTGAAGTGACAATATGCCAGTTCAGAGCTTTCTGGAGAGCTGCATGTCTCTGCTTGCTGCTTTCACATCTATCGTCGGCCATCTGCCACGAGAAGCTTGCCTGGAGAGCTGAGAGTCCCAGAATGGGAGATAGAAAGAGTTTACCACGACCCAACCCATAGCCTGAAGTGACAAACCCAACATCCAGGAGCTGTGTTTCTAGCATAGAAATTGGGAAGATACTTGCTATTTCACAGAAGAAAGAAAGAAAGAAAGAAAGAAAGAAAGAAAGAAAGAAAGGAAAGAAAGAAAGAAAGAAAGAAAGAAAGAAAGAAAGAAAGAAAAGATCTAACTAAAGTATTTGTGTTCAGACCTACCATTCCCATTCAATCCTGCTTGCACTAGGAAGGACAGCTAATTCCCAACAGGCTGCATCTTATATGCCCCCCCCCCCCCATCAGCTGGCTTTGGCCAGCTTCCATCAAGGAAGGTACTGGAAAGATGACAGGATGTTTTCCCCCTCGCTCTCTGGTGAAGATGGCATCTTCCACATGGCTCCCAGTCCTACAGGACAAACCCTGCTGCTGGCGTCTCTGTCTTTTGAGCACTTTCTTTGGACTGCCAAGTTCAGAACTGTAGAGACTCCCTGCTGGCTCACATCCCTGGGTCACACCATTGGCTTTTTTTTTTTTTTTTATCTCCTCAGCATTTCCATTCCCTGTAAAACCAAACCCAGGCTGAACTGCCTCCTTTTGAAGCACCTGGAGCAGTTTGTGTTTTCTAACCTGAGCACTATACAGAGTCATTCAGTTGTTTAAAGTGGAGCCCACAGAAATGTAGACTTGGTGGAAAACATCTTATAACCCTTTAAGACAATCTGAGAGTAATGACAACACTCAGTGGAGAGCCACAGGCACCAGATTCTCACTGTCTTAGTGTTCTCTTGCATGAAGAGACCAATTAACTGGGGCTTTGTCTCAGAGGATGAGTCTGTTATCAGCATGGTGGGGACCATGGAGGCAAGCAGATAGGCATAGTGGTGAAGAAATAGCTGTCTGGCCCCAAAACCCACCCCACCCCCAGCAACACAGTTTCTCCAATGAGGACACACCCAGTCTAAAGAGACCACCCCTTTCAAATAGTTTACCAACTGCGGACTAAGTGTTCAACTCTATGAGCCTGTGAGGGCATTTTTTATTCAAACCACCACACTGGTGGTTATATTATTGATTACTTACACTAAATATTTACCAGTATAAATCAATAGCATTCCTACAGTAGCACAGATATCAGTACTGTTTTGGTATAGTTGATCTCAGTTGATCACCCGCTGAAGGTGTAATCTAATTGTGAATAAGCCAGAGATCTCACTCAGCACTTCCCACAATGCACAATCCAGAGCTGACACTCAGTAATGTCAGAGCATTAAGAGCAGTCCCCAAACCATGGAGTAAAGAAGAGGCCCGAGAAACTAACTCCAAGCCCAGCGAACATCAGCCACAGTGCACTTTCACCAACCAAACCATCCATGCAGGGTTGTAAGGAGATCACACCTTATTCCAAGGATGATGGAATTTTTGGAGGGTCTTCCATATTTGAAAAAGGGTTTTTTGTTTTAGTCAGACAAATAACTCCTATTGTAATACATTTTAAAAACTTAGGCTTCCAACATCCTGCTTCCTGAAGTGGGGCATATTTTCAAAACTGGGAAGTCGGGATAGATAGACTGTCATCTAATGGAAGAGAGCTGGTGAGTAGTTTTTATTTATGTATTTTTGCATGTTACAACTCTGCCAATTTCAATTAAAGAGACAACCTCTAAAACATGGCTATTAACCTAACCGACAATTAGAAAGCCTACACATGGAAAGTAGATTACAGCGTATTTGATGGAACCCTCAATTACTAATTGCAGTGTTAAGAGCAAGGCAGGTAAGCTGGTCAGTGTGCTTAGGGGGTGGAATGATAACTAGGAACTAATGCCAGCGTGAAGTTCTGAACGAAACAAGGGAATCTAAGAGAAGTGAGAGAGGAACAGGTCAAACCAAAGGACCTAGAGGGGGACCCCTCCCCCAAATCCACACGTAGCCAAGGAGGGATCCAGGCTGAGTAGAGTGATTGGCACAGACTCCCTGCCTCTGGCTCATTGGCAACCTCACTGCCCTATATCCTCCTAACTCAACAGACTAGGGATTAAAAATAAAGCCATCCTTTAGAAGGCCACATGGTTTCAGTAAGTGACTTAAAGATGCTAAGAGCTGTGTGTAAAAGGGAGATGTTGGTTTATGTTCCTCACTGAGCTTAGTTTCAATTTTAAATATATAGTAGTCAAATGTTTAGGCACAAGTCATCCATGTCAGAAGGAAGATAAAAGAGCCATTGCTAAGCACTGAGTCGCCAAGCTGTATCTGTAGAGCACAATTTACTTATTAATCTTTTCTTTTGATGCTGGGGATTGAGCCACATTCTCCTTAAGATTTCATGGAGAAGTATACATATTTTGATATCTAATTTAAAGCATCAACGTACAATCCGGCTAAATGAGGAACGTTGCTCCATAGTTTTAGATATAAATATTGGGAAACACAGGGTGATTTTAACAAACTCTGAATTTCTGTGTAGTCAGCAAAGAGTTCTGAGATGCACTGCAATAAAAAAAAAACAGGAACAACTACATGATATCATCGAATCCATTTATCGTGTGTTTGTCAATTTTTAATGACTGACTTCTCCACTTAGAATTCTGGGGGAGCAGGATTCCTGGGGTTTAGGGTAGAGCCTGGTGTAATGCTGTTGAACTGCTTTCTGATCCTTGTCTCTGCTCAGATGGAGCCGCTCTAGACAGTTCAGCTATGATCGGATCATCTCCCCTTCCTTGTTGGTTTCACCCTTCAGACTGAATACACCCAACGAAAAGGCCCCGGCCCTCTACCACAGCTTGGTTTACCTGTGTTCCTACGGCCAGCGTCACTACATAACAACCAAGGTCAGATAAATCACCCGTTAGGTACTTCCAGACCCAGTCACACCCACCTTCCGGGCTAGTCTAGAGAGCTGTCATTTTCTAGTTTTATTTATGTTTAATGATGAACTACGCTGGCTCCTTCTTCAAAATCCTTAAAAATGCCCCCCCTCAAAGAAATAGAAACCCACTTATAAATTCCCTTATTCCCCCCTTCTTGTAGGCATCTCATCTGCCTCCAGGAAAGCGGCTTCCTTCCTCCTGATTCCTGAGAATCGCTAGGCCTACCTTTTGTGCACACGTTTTCATATTGCCACCACTGTCTCTCCCGCGCCAAACTTTGGTTATTCAAAATGAACACTCCCGGATCATATTTCTCGTGCCTCTACAAGTCCTACGTTTGTTCCCTCTGCCTAGGAAGCTCTCTTTCCTGGCAATGACCTCCTGCGGCAGCTTCTTGCAGTTCTTTTAAGATCTAGTCACTTCCAACCCTCCGACCGCCTCCCTCCTTCACAGACTCCCGTTTCCACGCTCCTCAACCCTTTGAAGGCTCAGACTGTTTTCTTTGGTTTCTTATGAAAGCAACAGTGTGCCGTATTGTTTTTGTGAGAGGCCACGCTTCCGTTCGTGCCCACACTTTAGAGATGGAGGAAGACCGACCACCGAGGTGTCATAACTTAAAAGAAACAGAAGTGGCAAGAGGCTAAGAAGCCGGGTCAGAGCACAGACCTCCAGGCTTTCAGCCACATTAAAAAAAAAAAAAAAAAAAAAGTTCACTCCCATCTATCACTACAGTGTAACAATCACATGGTTATATTGTTGCTTTGACATCCAAATCCCCTTCCCCCATGTTTCCTGAAGGAAGGGCCAACATCCTCCTTTGGCATCCAGTGGTGACTGCAGGGTTCCCGTCTCTCTATCTTTCAACAGCCCAGAGTAAAGGGGAAGGGGGGTGCTCTGCCTGAAAGACTTCTGCTTAGGACAGACAGGTCCCCGCTGGGTTGATTTGTGTTTCTGGAAGCCTCAGCGCCCATCGGGACGTGAGCGGATTTTAGGGTTGGAAGCTGATCAAACTCCCGGGAAGAGCAACATTCCAGGGCACTCAGAAGCGGCCTTGACAGGCGAGCTTCACACATCCTCCAACGTGACGGGGGACACCGACCATGCAGGCGGACTGAGGGATGCTCGGTTACCGACTCAATCCTTCAGCCACCAGCGCACCACAGGGAGCCCAGGGGCGGGGCTCCAGACCACGCCTCCATGCTCTGATTGGCCCCTTCGAAATAGGCGGCAGCGCTGGGCGGCGAACTGCGGCGGCGGCGGTTGGGAATGCTCGCACGCACGCACAGATTGAGCCGGAGGCGCCCCGCAGGGAGAAGTGACTGCGCTCCCGGGCTGGTGGGTGAGTGACCTCCCTGTCGGATTGCGTTTTTCCTCCCGAATTTTCCGTCGCCTTCCCTAGGTGTCCCCCCCCCCCCCCCCCCCCCCCCCCCCCCCCCCCCCCCCCCCCCCCCCCCCCCCCCCCCCCCCCCCCCCCACACACGCACACACACCGGGCTTCCCGGGACTCCCGCCCTGCTCGCCCGGAATTCTAGAGTCCGGGATTGAAAGTTCAGGTGGGCTACCCAGCTGTGGGATGCCAGGAGCTCTGCGATTGGCTGGCGGAGGGATCCGCGTGCTGTGATTGGCTCCTGGCGCTGTCACGGTGACGTTTAAGCTCGCCTTCCTACACCTGCCCCCTCGGGTAGATCAGAGGGGGCTACAAGTGCGAGCTGATCAGCGCGGGGAGCACGCGGTAGAGCCGCGACCCGTCCGGCTCTGCTGAGCGACAAGCTAGGGCAGGGTGACCGGGGCACCCTCTTCCTCGGCGTCCAGCCAGAGAGGGTCCCTCGATTCCTCATCCACGCCCTGGGAAAGAAGTGATGAAATCACTGGCCCTGGACAGACTGCGACTCACTGTCACACTGCCGTCCTGTCCCGTGGTAGGCACTGCAGGTTCTTCCCTATTTGTCCTCTGCTTGGCTCAGCTCTCCCAGACTTAACGGAATTAGGGAACATTAGTGGCGCCCTTGTGCAATGCTCTCCCACCCACACTCCTGGGTTTGGAGAACTGAGCTTGGGGCGATTGGGGGCTTGCAGAACGTCCTGCAAGGGCGGAGGAACCATTTAGAGAGCTTGCGTCCGTTTGCAGACGCCCCCGGTTCCTTCCTAACCCCTTTAAACCGAGGGTCAGAGTCGTACGCGTTAGAGGGCTCAGTGATCGCTTTAAAATGAAGAAATGTGTTTTTCTGCAGGCCCCGTCTAGGTTAGACAGGGTTTTACTTCGCCCAGGTGAGGTGGTTAATGACCACCTTTACTTAGGAGGTAAGCCGTAGCCAGCTGCCATGGGCTCGCTTCTCTCTAGCATGACCACAGAACGATTAAAACTTGGAATTTTCGCACACGCTTTAGGAGGAAACTAGTGAGAATATTCTGGTGTAGCTCCTGGCGTGTTGTCCCATCTGACTCATCGGTTTAAGAAACTCACTCTGGCCAACTGACACTGCATATTAGCTGTCTGCTGCTTGGACGCTGTTGAATTGAAAGCGGGTTTTCCTGCTTGTTTTGTTTTTGTGTGGTTTTTCAAGTGTCTCAGAGTTGATAAGCATGTGGTCTGATTGCAGTTTGTTTGTACTAGGTGTGCAACTTTAGACAAACTGGTAAATCTTCATAAGCCTAACTTTCCTAATCTATTAAAAAAAGGATTAATAATAGCTTCTACTTTATGGCTTTGGGGATTCTATAATGATCCATAAAATTAATGTAACATAATACCAGACACTGGTGATTATTATGTTTCCACGCCATTTAACTTGGGCTAAAAGTTAGAAAACTAGCTTGAAAAGGCGCGGGGGGGGGGGGGGG